GAGCATGGATTGGTGCAAGATTAGGGTTCATGGTTTTGAGAAGAAAATTTGTCTATGGAAGCTAGGACTGATTCTTTTGACATTTATAGATATAGATTTAGAATATATGTTACTATATTGTACAAGTGTATATTATATTGTACAAGTGTATATAGATTTAGTATAAACTACTGCACATTTCTCTATATTATAATGGAGAAGTGAGAGATTGTTATGTGTTTTGACTAATGGAGTAATTGGGTTGCACTAAATTGTCTTTGTGATCTCTGGCTTTTTAAAAAAGATTGGTGTGAAGTATGAACGTGACATCAAATCTCATTATTATATGACTCATTGGATCCTTCAGGAGCTATATAGATATCATCATATCAACTTTTTGGGGGGGGTAAGTTACAAAAGTTTTTGTTAATTTAATACTATGATATATGCAAGACGTAGAAGAAAGATCAGTGCCCCTATATATTAGGGTTGTAGTGGAAGAAGAGTTGTTTCTGATCTGTACTTTGCTATACTAAGTATTATTAATGTTGAGGATATGAAAACCATCTCTTTAGTTTTTTTGTTTGTTTAAAAGTTATCTTTGATTTGGAATTAAAACTAACAACCCCCTAGCTATAAGAATTGCCGTGTAAAACCAAAATGCAAGTTGGAGTAAACTCTAATGCAACATGGGCATTGGTTATGCAAGTTGCTCATTATATTTAAGAAACTCAAATTTCGTAGCGTTGACAAAAATATATATTCAAGTTTCCTATTTGTTGAATGATTAAAACCATAATTATTTTATTGAACATATACTTAAAAAAATGAAACCATTATAGCATAATTTAAAATTTTGAAACAATGGTTTATATAGTCTAAATAAGAACAACAAACAAAAAATACTATGGGGATGAATTATGTAACAATTCAAATCGCATATTATTAAATTCGAATTACGATGTGAAACGACGACCATTTTAAAACAACTCAGGATCTTGAGGATTACAAAACTTATTGAAATCAATTTAAATCTAAGAGAGTTTATAACTTCGAGTTGAGCACATGTCCATCCATTGTCCAATATACAAACAACAGAATTGGTGTTGACGCTTTTAGGGGCATGTTTGTAATTTGACTTAGTCCACCTTCTTACCGGCCACGTGATGTGCACGTGAGAACAAATAATCTGCCATGTGTCATCAGATTTTGATTTTTATGTTGCCGTTCACTTTGCCGGCCATCGCTGCTTAGGTCTCTTCAATTCCCGGCAAATTATCGCCGGTGCGATTGCTCCGAGCATGCTTAGTACGTTTCTTACCGTCGGCACCGAACAAGTTCAGATAGATTGTCCTTTTCAAATCTAGCTCGTTAAGGAGCCATCAAGTTAGGAAATCGATTGGTATACTTCAACCACTGTGAGAATCTTGTTCTGTGTAACCGAGACAGTTCTTAAGTAATTGTGATTACCTGTTGGGAAATGTTAGATCAAGAGTACGTTGGGAGAAGAGGGACAATGGCGATGACAAGCTGGCCATCAACGGGAAGACAAAGAAGACATCACTTGATTTTCGTGTTGCTTCTGGTTCTTCTTGTAGCTGTCGGAATCTGTGTTCCTGTTTTCGCTCTTCTTCCTTCACTGTCCTCTCCTCAGTCTCTGCCTCCTGCACTGCATCGGGACGACGAGAAGGTAAGCATGATTCTACTAATTGCCTCTTGTTGTCTTCTTGTTTGCTGGTTTTTGGTTTCTTTTCACTGCTGGAGTGGACTCATACCTTGAATTATCGAGCAATTATGTTATGTGGTTCTCATTTCGTGTACAAGTTCTCAATTTTCAGATGATATCTCCGAAGTTTTATATCGAAGATGATATGTTCTGGAAAGATGAGAATCCATTTCAGATCATTGGTGGTGATTTGCACTACTTTCGTGTTCTTCCCGCGGTAATTTCTTCTCTTATGTAGTTAATTATGATGTTTATAATATATACGTGATTGACGGATTAATGCCAGATTATGGATGCAGTACTGGGAAGATAGGCTTCTTAGAGCCAAGGCTTTAGGTCTGAATACTATACAAATGTACGTTCCTTGGAATCTTCATGAACCAAAACCTGGGAGGATGGTCTTTGAGGGTATTGCTGATTTGGTGTCCTTTATCAAGCTGTGTCAGAAACTAGATTTCCTGGTTATGCTGCGTGCTGGACCTTATATCTGCGGAGGTCTGTGTTAATTTTGCTGTCGTGATTCTTATGAGTTGATTCCAATGTTTTTACCACATCATGTGGAAGATGTGCTTTTACACATAGACAAGAGCTGATACATGTTCTGGTCTCCATCGCAGAATGGGATTTGGGGGGTTTTCCTGCTTGGTTACTTGCTGTGAAACCACCTCTCAAACTAAGGACATCAGATCCTGCATACCTTAAGCTGGTAAGTTATCATTTAAAATGAAGCAAGTAGTAAATCACTGGAATTGCTGTTAATGAGCATGCAATGTTAAATATTAGTCTAGAATTTATGCATTGTCAAACTCTGTAGGATCCATTGGTAGTGGATATTAGCATGAAAAAGGATTTAGCGTCTTGTGGAGAATGAGTGGAAACTATGAATACTTTTGCTTAATTCCTAGAAGTGAGCATTTATCCTGTTAACTTGATTGCTGCTTTCTGCTTATTCAGTTCTGCATTTGCTTTTCCCTGCGCGTGTACCATGTCAAAGACGTTTCTCATGTTTGTTCCCTTGCTTGGGAGATTCTCTATATGTATTCTCCAAACTTATCCTTTGCTACCTAATTTTCCCACTCTGCCATATTCTTCCAACGCCACATTCTAAGACTGTTCTTTTGCTTTTTGTTTGAAAGTGGAGTTAATTCATAATGACATATTACAGGTTGAAAGATGGTGGGATGCTTTACTGCCAAAGGTATTTCCTCTGCTTTACAGCAACGGCGGTCCTGTTATAATGGTTCAGGTACATACGGAAAGCAATGTTCCACTATATCATTTATCTAAGTTTGGTATATTTAGTGATTGGTATATAGTTACAGTTGATAGGATGGTTCGGCTTCTATAAAAGCTTGAACATTATGGTTGACAAATATGAAGCTAGAGGCCGAATCCCTGTCCTAGATCATTTATGTTGGCATGTTCACTAAGCGTTGGTTGTTTTTGCAGATTGAAAATGAATATGGTTCATATGGAAATGACAAAGCTTATCTTCGTAATCTAGTTACCATGGCTAGGGGACACCTGGGGGATGACATTATTGTGTAAGACTTTTGTACATCTTCAACAATATAACAATGGGTCATGGGAAATTAGATTGTGGAATTGCTGTAATGATCTTCAGGTATACAACAGATGGAGGCACAAGAGAAACTCTTGAGAAAGGAACTGTCTCCTTATCTGATGTCTACTCAGGTGATCAAACTTCATTCAAAGATTTCATTATTTTATTTCTGATAAATCTTCAACAACAAGTTGAGATGTCTATAGAGTACTATATACCTCCTTGAGATCCATGATTGATTGTAAACCGGAATAGTGGTTTGTTTTGTTCGTAGATTAATAAAAATGACAAGCAACTTCATCTTTCTGATAGCTGTTGACTTCACTACGGGAGATGACCCTTGGCCAATATTTGAACTGCAAAAGAAGTTTAATGCTCCAGGAAGATCACCTCCACTTTCCTCGTAATTCTCCACTGGCCCTAACTTGTTACAAAAGATTAATTTCTTCTTTAGAATTAATCGAGTTGTATGATATAGGGAGTTCTATACTGGTTGGCTTACGCATTGGGGTGAGAAGATTGCAAAAACAGATGCCGAATTTACGGCAGCTTCCCTTGAAAAAATATTGTCCCGGAATGGTTCTGCTGTGCTTTATGTATGTGCTTAATAAAATTTCATTTACGAACGTTTACAAGATAATAATTAATGATAAATGCGAGGTTTGTGTATTTGATGTTCAGATGGTGCATGGAGGAACGAACTTTGGTTTTTACAATGGAGCAAATACTGGCTGTGGAGAATTTGACTACAAACCAGATCTCACGTCCTATGATTATGTATGAAAATTTCATATTATGACCTACTATTGAAAATCCTTTGTTTAATTAAAAGCTCGATAACATATTTTGTCCCATTTCAGGATGCTCCCATTAAGGAGTCTGGTGACATAGATAATCCAAAATTCCAAGGTTTGATCTTATGATTGCTTTTAGTGATTCGCGGTCTTGTTCTTTTTTTTTCTTTCCTTTTATTGAACATTTTGATATTTGTAGCTCTCCAAAAAGTGATTAAGAAGTACAATGCAGCACCACACTCTGTTATCCCATCTAATACACAACGAAAAGCCTATGGCCCTATCAAGATGCAAATGACAACATCTCTGTTTGATTTAATTAGTATGACAGATCCTGGCGATGTGATCTCTTCTGCAAACCCGATTTCGATGGAATCTGCTGGGCAGGTATGTAATTTCAATAGTCTTTTACCATTAACATTTATCCTTGCATTCTAAGCGTTTCCCTACTAAAATATGGCCTCAGAAATTGGTCTAATAATTTTGTTCGTTGACTTGTACTCCACCAAGCAATATGCTTGAAATTGAAGGCAACATGATTCTTTATTTTTCTTTCTCTCAGATGTTTGGATTTATTCTATATGAATCTTCATACATGGCAAAGAAGAGTGGTAATATACTAAAAATACCAAAGGTAATATTTCTTGTTTCTCTTTTCATCTAAACCCAACTTGAAAATGTCATCTTCTAACATGATGAGTTGCAGGTTCATGACAGAGCTCAAGTGTTTATTTCATGCCTTTCCCAAGATGTTAATGAAGGAATACTGAGATACGCTGGTACAACTGCGAGATGGAACAACCAACCTGTTTCTCTTCCAACAAATGAGTGTACCTCTAACACTAGCTTATTTATTCTGGTGAGAGAATCCTCTTCTTTTCTTGAATCCTCAGGCAAAAAAGGTTCTCTGCAGTTTTTCTCTCTTCATAGAACTGCAGGTTCATTGATTACATGGAAGTTGTTAAGCACATACCTATTCCTATTAATATGAGCTTCTGTTTCTTATAGGTTGAAAACATGGGTCGAGTAAATTATGGACCATATCTCTTTGATGAGAAGGTAAGACTTACTTAACAGGTATTTATATTCTCAGGTCTCTGACCAGTGTTTCTAGACTACATCAGCATATATTAGCATTTGCTCTTTAAAATTGGTGATTTGTATGCCAGGTTTTATGTGATATTTTAGTTTTAAAAATTTGGAATCTATGGTAGGCTTATCATAAACTCAGGCAGCTTATTTAAATTTTGGAATCCATGTTCAGAAGCTCTATTTTCTGGTTTCTCTTCAGGGTATTTTGTCTTCGGTTTATCTAGATGGTCAAATTCTCCATGGATGGAAGATGATACCAATTCCTTTTCACAACTTGAATCAATTGCCAACTCTCAGTTTCGAGATGCAATTTACCAAAAAGAGAAGTGAGAAGTTCGAGCTTATTAATGGTCAGTGCTCTGTTTTTTTTAGCATACCCCTGATTAAGTTAAGAATGCAGTGATGGAATCTCCGGTCTCCTACTCTCTCCAAATTTGCTTTGATTATGAGTTCAAATTTATACCAGTAGAGACATGAATGAAACTAATTGCTTCTTTTGCCGATAAACGTAGATGTCGGTCAAAAGGAACCAGCTATGTTTTCTGGTGAGTTCTCTATCAGCAGTGTAGAACAAATCAAAGACACATATCTATCATTCAACGGTTGGGGTAAAGGAGTTGCTTTCGTCAATAAATTCAACATCGGAAGATACTGGCCGGTAAAGCTCTGTCCTAAAAAGCTCATCCAATATACAGAGTATCTTAGAGTTTCTCTTACACATGTTTCTTTTTGCAGTCTGTTGGACCACAATGCAACCTCTACGTTCCTGCTCCACTCCTTAAGCCTGGCCAGAATTCTGTGGTATGTCAAGAAGAACATGAGATATGACCGTTTTTGTTAGTTTGGGACTTGGGAGTTAGGATAGAGGAATAAAATCAGTTTATTATTTGCAAATTAAAGACTCTCTGTTACATTTCTCATTGCATCTTTTCATCAATCAGATTTGTTGAAAATCGTTGCAGGTGATTTTCGAACTGGAGTCTCCACATCTTGACCTTTTCCTGGAGTCTGTGGATCGTGAAGACTTCACATGCCGTCCAAATGATTCCAAAGTTAAATAAGTTGTAGCCATTCAGTTACACACTCAGGCAAAGGAATAATAAACGTTGTCTTGTCCCAGCTTGGCGCGGCGCACGCATATAGCTGGGTATATCCTCTGTCCAATACACCATAGTGTACTCTATTGAACCTTGCTAATTAAATACGAGGATTTCATTTCAAGTTTCTAATATGTGACTTTAGCAATTTTTGACACTTGCCAAGCTATTGGATCTTCTTCATTTCTCATTCAAATGATCTCCGTTCTCTCCCTCCCTTGGACTTATCTTGTGGATGGAAATTGTGGATAAGACACGTGAAACAGGAATTTTTTTGAAGGTGTTCCCCAAGAACCCACTGAAGACAAAGATATTAAGGCGTGGATCAGACAATTCCATCGTTTCATAAGCTACGGTATGAACTATAATCTAATGTTCCATTGGAAAGATGTCTTGAGGAAACCTTTGCATTACTGATAAAGAGGTTTCAATCAAGTATCATGGTTTCTTAAAAAATACCAGAAATGAATTAATTAACAATATCTTGTGGTCATTTAATAATCCGCTAGTCAGCTCGTGGGAGACATATCGAAGAGTGTGTTACTGACCAAATAATTAATAAGGGTCAATGATATGCGGATTATAATAATCC